TAACTAGAAATGGGGGTGAGGTTTTCAGGTGCTGGCAGTGTTGTGTCTCTTGATTTGGATGCTGGTTACACAGGTTCGTTCAGTTAGTGAAACTTCCCCAAGCTGTTCACTTAGGACTTGTATACTTTTCTTTATGCTATATTTCAATACAGCAGTGAAAGTTAAAACAGTGAGAGTTCTGTTTTTTAAAATCAGGTTTTTAGCCATTAAAACATAGAAATTTAGTCTGGTGAAGATGGAAAACATGCATATACTGATAATAGAGTAAACTCATACAAGCATTTTTTTTTTTCCTCTGGAGACAGAGTCTCGCTCTGTCACCCAGACTGGAGTATAGTGGTGCAATCTCAGCTCACTGCAACCTCCACCTCCCCAGTTCAAGGTATTCTCCTGCCTCAGCCTCCCTAGTAGCTGGGATTACAGGCACTCACCACTACGCCCTGCTAATTTTTGTATTCTTAGTACAGATGGGGTTTTGCCATGTTAGCCAGACTGGTCTCAAGCTCCTGGCCTCAAGTGATCCACCTGCCTCAGCCGCCCAAAGTGCTGGGATTATAGGCGTGAGCCGCTGTGCCCAGTCAGTAAATTAGTACAAGCTTTTGCCGAACAATTTGGTAGTACCTCTAAAGCTTAAAATATGTATTCTAGAAATTTTCCTCCTAGACATCTCCTGGAATTCAGGTATACAAAGGCATAGGTTATAAAAATGTTTCTGGGTATTTTTGTACAAACATAAAGAAGACAACCTAAATCTCCATCAATGGGGAACTGGTTACATGAATTATGGAAGACTGAGCAACTGTTAAAATTGGCAGAGATGTGTGTGTAGTAGTGTGGAAGGTTGTCCTCTATGGTATTACTGACTGAAAGAAGCAAGTTATAGACTCCGTGAACAGAGTGATCCATATTTATACGGGAGAAAAAGAAAGATGTGCAGGCAGTGGTTATAAATGCTAGGAAAGAGGCTAGAAAGGGTAAATACAAAATTGTTTATGTTGGTTTTTCTTGAATTTTTATAACTGGTGGATAGGAATGGGGTTGTCATTTCTTTATATACTTCTGTGTTGTTGTTTTTTTTTTTGAGACGGAGTCTCGCTCTGTCGCCCAGGCTGGAGTGCAGTGGAACAATCTCTGCTCACTGCAAGCTCCGCCTCCCGGGTTCATGTCATTCTCCTGCCTCAGCCTCCCAAGTAGCTGGGACTACAGGCGCCCACCACCACGCCCGGCTAGTTTTTTGTATTTTTAGTAGAGACAGGGTTTCACTGTGTTAGCCAGGATGGTCTTGATCTATTGACCTCGTGATCCGCCTGCCTCGGCCTCCCAAACTGCCGGGATTACAGGCGTGAGCCACTGCACCCGGCCTACTTCTGTGTTTTTTATTTCATTTTATTTTATTTTATTTTATTTTATTTTATTTTTGAGATGGAGTCTCCCTCTGTCACCCAGGCTGGAGTGCAGTGGCGCAATCTCGGCTCACTGCAAACTCTGCCTCCTGGGTTCAAGCGATTCTCCTGCCTCAGCCTCCTGAGTAGCTGGGACTACAGGCATGCACCACCACGCCCAGCTAATTTTTGTATTTTTAGCAGAGACGGGGTTTTACCATGTTGGCCAGGATGGTTTCGATCTCTTGACCTCGTGATCTGCCCACCTCAGCCTCCCAAAGTGCTGGGATTTACAGGCGTGAGCCACCGTGCTTGGCCCTGTGTTAATTTTTTACCTGCGTTTATCACTTTGAAAGGTTAGTTCTGCCATTAAAAAAAAAAAAGTCTTAGCCCAAAAAAAAAAACATGCTTATAATGCTTATCAGAGAAAACAAAAACAAACAGTATTTTTGTAGTCTAAGCAAATAAAGATTTAGGTTTAATCTTAAAGCAGAAGATGAGTCACATTTTTGAAGAGTGGTTTTTGTCAGTATTGGCTATGGTGGAGATAAAAGGTTTGCTTCTTGATATATTTCAGTTACCTAGGAAATTCACTTGGGTAGAACAATTCTTTTCTTGACAGAGACTTTTCTTTTTACTTTGTTTGCTTGTGAGGTCATGTGTCAAGTATTCCTGTTTTTTGAAAGACGGCTCAGTTAACAATATTGTGCCTTTGTGTAAAAGATGACCACAGCCAGCAAACTAGACAATGCAGCCCGGGACAGCAGGCTTCACTTGTGTTAATAATGAAAAACGTTTTTGCATTCAGAGCCAAGAGCTGTGAGTTGAGCCTGTTTAGCTGGATACAGACTTGTGATGGAAACTCTTAAGCCCTTGTGATCACACAGAGAGATACTATCAACACATCTACAGTGCCTCTTCACTCACTGTTATGTTTCCTATGTGAATCATCCACAAAGGGCCGTTCTGACCCCATCTCAATCAAGAAGCCTGAAATGTTTCAGACGCTGCCATGCCGGATTACATCTATTACCAGTCTTACTGATCCAACAGAATGTCAAACACATTGTATAGATTACCTGTCAGAATCAATTTGGGCCAAAAACCTCATTAGTGTGAGGCTTAGCGCTTTCTGGAATTATATCCCATTCTGTGTGTCTTCACTTTCAATAAGTGTTGTTGCCACAGATGTAAACACAAAAGCACATCTCCATTAAGCATCTTGTCTCTGGAATTCATATACTAATATCAAGCAGATAAAAGAATGTTGATGCTCAAATCTAAAGAGCAGAAACAGCAACATTTAGAGTCTTAGCTGCTCAGGGTGCACAGGCACCCAAACTGTAGCGGGAAAGTGGCTTCTCTCGGGAAGCGGTTTAACACGTCCCTTGGAAACCTGTCTGATGGCTTCAAGATCTTCACAGGAAGTCTTCCTTCTTAAAGAATGGCCTGAAGTCTTCTCTCTTCAACATCCACTTCTTCTAATCCCTGTTTGAAGGTCCCCAACTACCTCAAACTGAGTAGTTTGAAAATTTAACTCATGAACAACACTCCCTTAACCTGTTCCTCTTCCACTGTTCCAACAGAACAAGTCAAACCCTGATCTACTCCAGAAATCTTTCTAGAGACCTAGGGATCATTCCATTGTATCCTCTCCCTTCTCCTCCCCCAACCCCATATCTAATCCATTAAAGTCCCATCTGCTGAAATTTGTCATGAATTCACTCACTTCTTGATATTCACTGCCACCATATTGGTCTTAAAGACTTCATATTCTTCCTGCTTGGATTATTGCACGCTTTCTGAATTTGTCTCCACACCACTGCTCGCCCTTTCCCCTCCACATGTCCATTCTCTACCTGCAGCCAGAGTGGTTTTATAAAAAAATCTAGCCTAATCTTAACATTCTCTTGCTTAAAACTCTCCCACTGCCCTTTGGATAAAGCACAAAATCTGTAGGCCTCCTGGGCTCATATCATCTCACCTTCCCCAGGTCTCTAACATTTTGCACCAATATCCTAACTTACTACTTGTTCTTATAGGTTCTAGAAGGTAGCAGAGCCCTTCCCACCTTCAGACCTTTGCCAACACTGTGCCCTCTGCCTATAACGTTGCCTTCCCGCTTCTGTCTCGCCAGTGCTTTCAGCCTTCAGGTTATTCTTCAGCCTGGACTTCTCCGATGCTTCCTGTGCCTGCCAGCAAGGTCATTTCCCCCATCACAGACCCTTATCATACCCTTTACCTTCTTCATAACATTTGCCACAGTTGTAATCTGTCAGGTATTTCCCTCCACTAGACTTTAGTTCTCTACAAGCAGGATCTGTACAATTTGTATACCACTGTCCTTGGAGCCTGACAGCAGGAAGCCCAGATATTGTAGGTGCTCCTGTGTTAAACAAATAAAGGAAATCTGTCTTCCAAGCCTGGTGATTAGAGTTACTTTAGTATTTTGTTTCATATACCACAAAGAAAGCTAAACCAGAAATGAAATTCTTTGTCCTGAGTCACACACAGCAAGCCAGGACTTGCAGGGCTAGAACCCACCCTGGACTCTTGTTACTGTGTCCTGGGCATGTGGTTCACATCTCAACTTTTTGGGACTTAGGAATAAAGTCCACTTGGAAGGTGCTAGAATGTGAGTGCATACCTTGCTCTAGCCTTCCTTTGTCCAGGACTTAAGACACCTACAGTTTAGGTCAGTTTCCTTTTCCTTGATGAAGCCTCCCTTTAGTCAGTGAGTGGTGTTAATTTGTTTGGGTATGGTCTTCCTCATCAGCAGCTGGATGACTATTGCTGGGGTAAATGCACAACGTGTGGTAAAATACTGAGTGTCTACATCTGGACTGGGCTGTTGCTCTCTCTTCTGAAAGCTGTCTCAGACCACATGTTACTGGCCATCTGTGAGAACAGCAGGGAATGCCCAGAGGTTCGTCCCTTGAAAGCAGATCAGCTCCAGGGACCACCTCCAAGTGCACCTGCAGTCTTGTTTCCTTGGCACGTATCAGCCTGGGAGCAAATTCCAGCCTTGGATGTTGTTTTTCACCAAGTGGTGTTTTAAAACCCCTGATTAGTGCTAATATTTAAAATCGAGATTATTATGTACAAGCTTGAGTTTCTGTGTTCTCCTGGGGTGGAGGAGACCTGGCAAAACCAGCCCACAACTATCAGCTAGGGCTGAATTTTAAGAGAACCCCCTAAAACAAGACATTATTGATCCCTGCCTGGACTGCCATGGTTACCTTCCTGGCATTTGTAGGCACATGAGTTTGCAAACCCTGTAATATTTTTAAGTCACGGCAGGGGAAGGTGGGGGTATATGCATGAAAGTTGTAATTGACTTAGCTGGGCGTGGTTCTGCACGCCTGTAATCCCAGCTACTCGGGAGGCTAAGGAAGGAGAACCCCTTGAACCCAGGAGGTAGAGGTTGCAGTGAGCCGAGATCGCACCACTGCACTCCAGCCTGGGTGACGGAAGCAAGACTCCATCTCAAATACATCAATAAATAAATAAGTTGTAATTGACATTCTGTATAATTTTTTTTTTCTTTGTCCCCACTTCCTTCTTTTTCTTTATCTTCTACTTTCCCTTCCTCTCTCCACTGCTTCTACCATTTTACAGGTTCTGGGGCTGCTGGTATGGACGCTTATCGCTGGAACTGAGTACTTCCGGGTCCCCGCATTTGGCTGGGTCATGTTTGTAGCTGTATTTTACTGGGTCCTCACCGTCTTCTTCCTCATTGTCTACATAACAATGACCTACACCAGGATTCCCCAGGTGCCCTGGACAACAGTGGTAAGGAAGCTGTGGGTGGTGGTCTTGTCCAGTGCCTGCTCGGTAGGATGGCATTAGTCCTCCACTAGTCAATCCAAGACTGTCTCTCTGCCCAAAAAAGGTGGGCCATACCATGGAGAACCCGACACAGCAGACAATCTCAACATCCTCTAAGTGCCTCTCAAGTGGCTTACAGCTGGGTGTGAAACTGGGCACATCAGAAGGTCCAGAAATTCCTTTCAGGCAGAATTGCAAACCAATTCTCAGAAGACTGAATCAAGAAAAGCCAGGTTCTCTCATGTAGACTCTCATTTTATTATTTCCCTGTGAACAATGTCACGTGGAAATAAATATGTCAGGGCGCCAACCTCTGCAGATCATGCTTCCTACAAACCTCTCCTGGGGCTGTGGCCTTAACCCTTTGTACATCACAGCTCTTTGATGCTGGAGCACATTGTGTATGGAGTTAGCATGCAAATGAAAATTGAAATTAGAACACATAGGTGTTCTTCTATATTTGACAAAGAGAATTGTCAGGAATGACTGGATTCTCATCCTGGCTCTGGCACCATGCTGGATGCAGGATGGTGAACATGCGGTCCAGGGGAAATAGGTAAGAAAATGAGAAGATACGAAACCCTGTGGCACACACTGCAGTGGGGCTGTGTAGAAAGTGTGATGGAGGCTGCCACCTCAGCTTAGGATGACTGGGAACTCTTCAGAGAGGAAGGGACATTTAGCTTCATCCTGGAGATCGAACACACACATCCTAAGTGGATTCACAGCGATGGAAGGTGGGTTCCCCTTGCCTTAAGAGCATTGACAGTCTGGTTGGGAAATTCAAAGTAGCTAAATGATTTACAAAAGAAATTCCAGTGGTACCACATGTGTTTATGTATAAAACAGAGCTCTCCAGTGATACTATTTTTTTGTCTGTTTTCAACCAATATGTGAGAAAAAATATTTAATTCCAAATAACTGACTTATGAACCAAATTTGAAATATAGTCTATTTGTAGTTATAAACTAAGTTAAGTTGGCAGACTTTCAGACAACACTATCATTGTTCAGAATGCACCTGGCTTTGTTCTTTCTGTGTTGCTAAGTCCCCCAGGAAAACAAGTCTTATTTTATTTCACAAAGCAGTTTGACTGACTCTTGACCATTTCCCCAAATCCAAAAGTAAGGACTCTTTATTAAGGTTTTCAAGAAAGCGTTGCAAGTTTGAAAAGTAATTCCAAACAAGGTGCTTAATCACTGTCTAGGGTGGGGGAAGCAGCCTTGTCAGAACTGGTGTTTTGCTGCCTCAGGTGGGCATCCGGAGGGAAAGACTCGTTTAGATGCTGGATTCAAAAACAGTTAGCACTTTGAAGTAATAGTAACTACAGAAGCACAGGATGAGGGAATAATCAAAGTTGGTTGGAATTTAAGGAATGCCATTTTGGAGAAAGTTGTGTTCTAGGGTGGGTCTTGAAGAAAGTGCCTGTGAACTTGAAAGAAGAGGAACTTGGACAGTGTGGTAGGGGAGCAAATTGTTGGGATGGAGGAATGGACAGTACCCTTGTTTCCCCTTTTGCCTGAGTCTCAATTTCTAGTATGTTATCTAGATCAGCAGTTGGCATGCTGTCTTTGTAAAGGACCAGATAGTAAGTATTGTAGTCGTCTTGGGCTATACTCCCATGGCCCAGCCACTCAACTCTGCCTGCAGCATTGAGAGAAGCCATAGGCAATTTGTAAATGAATGAGCATGGCTGTGTTCAGGTAAAACTTTATTTATAAAAACGGATGGTGGCTGGGCACGGTAGCTCACACCTGTAATCTTAGCATTTTGGGTAGACACCTGAGGTCAGGGGTTTGAGACCAGCCTGGCCAACGTGGCAAAATCCTGTCTCTACCATAAATACAAAAATTATCCTGTTGTGGTGACGCATACCTGTAATCCCAGCTACTCGGGAGGGTGAGGCAGGAGAATCTCTTGAACCCAGGAGGCGGAGGTTGTAATGAGCTGAGATCACACCACTATTCCAGTTTGGGTGACAGAATGAGACTCTGTCTCAAAAAAACAAAACAAAACTAGTGGTGGGCCAGATTTGACCCACAAGCCATAGTTTACGGACCTCTTGTCTAGATCATATATAGTCTTTCTCTTCTCCAAGCCTAAAACTCCTTCACTGATTTATTACATTAAAAATTTAAAAATATTGCCTTTAATGGGATTTTAAAAAGAATATTAACATGCCTTCTTCCGGCACCCCTAGTTTTAAAATGCTTTGATTTGCATTATCAGAATTTATTATCATAAGGTATGTCCCCATTTTATAGATAAGGAAACTGAGGTTTGGAGTCTTGTGACTTTTCACAGATTTATACACAGCAGGGGTCCACATCTCTTGACTTCCATCTGCATTTTTTTTCTGATCACATCCTGCTCCAGGCCTCCTCTGCCTGAGCGGTAGGTAACAACTGCAACCAGACACCAGGAAACCAGGACTCCTAGTCCCTTTAGAAGGGTTTAATCATTTATCCCCCTTAAGCAAGGCTGTCAGCCTCCAGGTCAGGGGTTGCACACTCAGATGTGTGAGGCACCAGTCAGGTCGGACAAGTGAGTAAACTCGGCATGGTGTTGAACCTTGCCACCCAGACACACTTTCTTAGCATCTTAAACAACTTGAGAATATTCTCACTTCACAAATAAATAAGCTGGAAATGTGCTCCCAGGATTGCTAACTGTTCTGTTTGTTTTCTAAGGCGATCTAGAAATCTGGGCTTTGGTGTGAACTCTCCCAGTTTTAAAACGCTTACAGCCATAGTCTTAAAATTCATTTGCTGCTGGCAGAAGCTACAGGTCAAACATGTCTGACTTCTGGTTGGGGTTTATGTTTACTGTTACAAATAAATACACCTTTGTAACTTCTTAACGCATTTGTGAGTTGGGTACATGGTGTTAACCAAATATCCAGAGGGGAGACTGGAAAAAGTTTCCGTCTGTTAACAACTAAAGACTCTGACTAAACTTCCATATTTTCTACTACCCAGCAGAATCTCTTACAGAACAGCCTGTGGGGGATTCAGATCCCAGCCCAACTGTCGTGTCCCAGCACAAATCAGGAGCGTAGCAAGTGTCAGGCTGGGACTTCGTGCTGAGGCAGCTGACAGGCTCCTGGTGCCGAATTGGACTGCCTAAACTCTTGCTACTCAAAGTGTGGTCCCTGGACCAGCAGCATCACTGGGAGATTATTAAGAATACAGAATGTTAGGCCCTACTCTAATTCTGATTTGTACTGACTGAATCAGAAATTCTGTAGAGGGCTTTAGAATCTCTATTATGACAAGATTTCCAGATCATTCTTAGGCATCTAAAGTATGGGAAACACTGGTTTAAAAATATAGATCCATAATCCCTGAGTCAAAACCTTTGGGTCAGATGTGAATTAAGAGTTTGTTTTGTTTTTTTTGAGATGGAGTTTCACTCTTGTTGCCCACGCTGGAGTGCAGTGGTGCAATCTCGGTTCACTGCAACCTCCACCTCCCGGGTTCAAGCAATTCTCCTGCCTCAGCCTCCCGAGTAGCTGGGATTACAGGCATGCGCCACCACGCCTAGCTAATTTTGTGTTTTTAGTAGAGATGGGGTTTCTCCATGTTGGTCAGGCTGGTCTCAAACTCCCAAACTCAGGTGTTCCACCTGCCTCGGTCTCAAAGTGCTGGGATTACAGGCGTGAGCCATAGTGCCCGGCCTAAGAGGTTTTTTTTTCTTCCAAATTTTAGAAAGGTAATAAGGTAATTTTGTGCATTTATGTCAATATGTGACATGTACCCCTGAGTCTGGGACTGCACTGTAATGAGACAAATTCATGTTTCTGCAAGAACACGTGGATTTTCCTGCTAAGAGGGATAATGAGGACCACATTGCTCCCATGTCAGCTCAGGTCAGCTTTTACTGCCAAATGACTTTTGAATTTACTCTTGCTTTTCAGAGGATTTAGGGAATCTACGATTGCAGAGAAGGGATTGGTAGACTTGGTTTTAGTCCCCTGGGAACTTGTCTGGGAGACCACTGCAGAAACCAGAGTTTTATAATCTCGCATGTAGCGCCTCCATTGATAAGGCATGAACTTTGCATTGGAATCTTATCTTAACAATAGCTCATTCCCTTAATATGTCTAGGAAGATAGAAAGTGACCTATATCCATTTTTAATGTGCAGCAGGAACCACAGCTGGTTCCTACTGGCACCTCTAAGCTCCTGGGCCACAACGGTTATGATACCATTTATTCAGAGAGGCTTCGATAGGTTTTCCAACAAATCTGATTTAAGCTAAAAGGTCAAAGCAATAACATTTGCCTTCCTCATAGCACCAAGCACTAGGGTCTACACACATGTGTTTCCTGAGGATTCATTCTCTGTAGCTCATCCTGCTGACCTCACTGCAAGCCTTGTGAGCTCCAGAGAACAGGGCGTTTGTCTCCCTTTACCAGTAAAAGCAGCTACTATTTCTTTTTCTTTTTTTGGAGATGGAGTCTTGCTTTATCGCCCAGGCTGGAGTACAGTGGTGCATTCTCGGCTCCCTGCACCCTCCGCCTCCCAGATGCAAACAATTCTCCTGCTTCAGCTTCCTGAGTATCTGGGATTACAGGTGCCCACCACCACGCCCAGCTAATTTTTATTTTTTTTTAGTAGAAACGGGTTTCACCATGTTAGCCAGGCTGGTCTTGAACTCCTGACCTCAGGTAATCTGCCCACCTTGGCCTCCCAAAGTGTTGAGATTACAGGCGTGAGCCACTGCACCTGGCCAGCAGTTACTATTTCTTAAGTACATGCTGTGTGCCAGATGTCACACTGGGTCCTTTATATTTTATATCATTTAATTTAATCCTCATAGTAACTCTGCAAAGATGGAATGCATTCTGTCCATTTTGCATATGGAGAAACTGGGACTTGAGGGCCTGAAACTGAGAGGATGCTTGAGGGCCAGGAATGGAATGCAGGTCTTCTAATACCAACCACAGTTGTGAACCTTGGCGT